TTGGGCGAGATAAGACCATTGTTACAATAGAAAGGCATTTTTATTGGTCTAGTCTCAAACGTGATGTCACTAGGATTATTTTCACAGTGTTGCACATGCATACTTGCTAAATTAACTAAGCAAAACACAAGTTTGTATACACTCTTACGTATCTCATCAAGACCTTGGGAGGATGTGAGTATGGATTTTGTGTTAGGACTATGTAGGACCCATAAAAGTATGATTATATTTTTGTGGTAGTTGATCGGTTTTTCAAGATGACTCATTTTATTCCTTGCTTCAAGGCTTCTAATGCCTCTTGAATTACATCTATTTTGACAAAGTTGTTAGATTACACGGACTACCTAAGATCATTATTTTTGATAGGAATGTTTGATTTATGAATTGTTTTTGAAAGACCCTTTGGCACATTATGAGGACCAAATTATAATAGTCATCTGCTTTTCACCCCTAGATTGATGGGCAAATAGAAGTTATTTATTCGAGTCTAAGAAATCTTTTATGATGCCTTGTAGGGGACCATTTAGGGACTTGGGATATGATCATTCATCATGCTAAGTTCACTTATAATAGTTCAGTAAATCATAGTACATACATGAGTCTTTTTGAGATTGTCTATGGCTATAAATCAAAGAAACCCATTGACTTATGTTCCCCTCCCCTCTAGTCCAGAGTGTCTCTTTCAACTAAGTCATTCACACAACATAGACGGATTCTGCATGAAGACATTCAATGTCACATTAGTATTAGTAATGAGTCTTATAAACATTAAGCATATACTTAGAAATGCTTTAAAGAATTACAAGAAGGAGACCTTATCATGGCTTACATACATCCTAGAAGGTTTCCACTAGGGATTGCATCTAAACTTCATACTCGAGGGGCAGGGCCATTCAAAATTCTAAAAAGAATTAGGTCAAATGCTTATATTTTAGACCTTCCATCAGACCTAGGTATTAGCTCTATTTTTAACATTATAGATCTTATTACTTATCAAGGACCACCAATGTACCTAGCGAGATGTTTGAGCCCAACACCATTCCTTTGAGTGACACCACACTTAATTACCAATTGGCCATTTTTCTTATGTGACAAGAACAAATAGAGGATATATTAGATGAGTAGTTGATATTTACCAACGACAAAGAACGACAGAGATTTTAGTCTATTGGAAAGAACGTTCACCTGCAGATGACTCATGGATCACTAAAGACTATCTTCATCAACTTGAACATGGTGCATAGCAGTGCCTTATCACTAGCTCCACCATTCACTCGACAAAGTCAAGTTTCTCAAACCAAGGGAGAATTGATGTAGGATGGGGCCCCAATATTGACTTAGCTAGCCCACTAGAGGACTCAAGTTTGACCCAAATAATTTTGGGCCAATAAGGCCTTTGGAGATCTGGACGCCAATGTATCCGACTGGAAGCTAGATAATTTGTTTATTATTAGCATGTTTAGAAGATGAGAAGGTGATGCACAAAAAACAAGTAGACATGCAGAATACAAGAAGACTTGCATAATATGAGAAGATGTGTAGAACACGAGGAGCTTTGCGTTGTAAGGCCTTTAAAAGGACCTGTCTCGACTCCGTTGAGGATAGTTTTTTGTCTATTGATTTCTTATTACTTTCGTGGTAGCTCCATCGTGTGCTGCTGGTCATGAGACCCTATCGCCCCAGTAGGGTTGGTTGCGAGGACCCTCCAACAGCCGCCGCTTGTCGCTATGGCTGCCAACCTGTCACCCGTCTGCCACCGCCGCTGTCCACCCTCCAACGCCACCATCAACCTTCCGCTACCACCATTGACCTCTCCCTCTATCACACTCCTTTGCCATCACCACCGCTCCGCCCACTTCCCTTTCCCAATGCTTCGGCTTACGAAATCTTCCAGCAGTCCGGCGCCTGAAGGAATGACTAGGGCACCAAGGCCGACAAGTTGTTGTCGGGCCGCCTTGCCATGGCCTCACACTGACGAACCTGAGCTCTCTAGTGACTTCTTTCCTCCACTAAATATCTTGATTCTTTTGCCCAATTTTCCCTGCTCTTTTAATATATCCTCATTGTCATCATCTTCTTGAGTGATTGTGTAGGATAGCTACTACTCCTTACATTGGGTGGTCTCTCCCCCTTGATAAGTTAGATCTGGTTTGTTAACTACGAGCACCTTATGATTGATAGTTTGCATAAATCGCCCAATCCTAGCCCCATTTTCTTTATTGTTGATGATTTTTGAGCCAGACTTGGATTTATCCTTCGTCTATTCCTTACAGTATATGTGATTTCTGCATTGTTTATTCGATCTCTACTACACCATCATAATCATCCCCATCATAATCTTTACATGTAAGTTTTTTTATTAAAAATCTTGTCAAATGATATCAATGGATTAACTTAGTCCGTTTCATATTAGAGGTCATGGCTAGTCCCCACATTCTCTAAGATTCTCATCTATCGTATGCAACTATTGTCTCTCCAATCACATGATGTCTTCAGCTTTAAATTATTCACGGACCTATTTCTAATAGCAAACAAACAAAATTGTGATTACCCCGTCACTCAAAGCTCCTTTGTCATTCATCATTCCACTCATCTCTAGATGCTTGGAAACTAATGTTGGAGATTAGACAACTTTCAATGAATTTTTCATTATATGTCCATTATCAACTGCTCGTGTTCGCACCTTTCCTTTTAATATGTCACCACTAATTAAGAGTCATTTCTGATGCCTTGTGTATTGCATTTCAAGTGCTCGTGAACTTGGTCTTGTGTTCCACATTCTTCACCGACAACTCTGCTCCTTACAATGGGCCAACTTATCGATGATGATGTCCATCATTGCAAATTTATTTTATCACTAACTTATCCTTGACCTTCTTTTTTTTTTGGTTGATTATGCTTTTCTATATTTTTTATTATGATGCCACAACTAGGGGGAGAAAACCTATCACTAAGCACAACACTTAGTTGGACACTTGCTCTAAAATTAAGGTATGTGGAATATAAGAAAAAAAGCAGAATACCCAAGTGTCACAAAGCAGCAAAGAATCAAATTCATATGTCAGCCTGCCAATGAGATGAAGTAGGGAGGGGACGGCCAGAGCAGTGGTGGCGGTAGTAGGATAGGGCGAATGGTAGAGGGACGCATATGTTAACAACATGACAGCCATCACTATGCAAGCCAGTTCACAGGTGATAGTCGACGCGGCGAGGGTCCACTGTTTTCCCAGATCATGAGCTGACGGCAGTAGGTAGGACGACCTGGGAGAGCTTCTCAAAGCTTGCTTCTCAGAGGCCTGTGAGTTCGGCAGGGATGTTGTCGTCGGCGGTTGGCACTGGCTCAAGAGCTGGAGCCGCACCACAATGGAGAAGGGTAAGAGGGTGGTGGGTTCTCGCTATGAGAGCGATGGGCTCCCGTTGACGAGAGCGAGGACTTGACTCGTTGACTATGCGAGGAAGACCCAAACCTCTATGTCCCGCTGACTGAGTCAGCCGTGAAGGGAGCTCGTGCAGACTAGAAGAGGGCGTAAGGGGGGAATAAACTAAGAGAGAAAGGAGGAGCGAGAGGATGAAGATTAGCTAGATGAGGACAAGAATGGTACAAACCAAAACTGCTGGCCTTAGGGTTGCCGATATGCAATGGTGAGTCTTCAGCTCTTGAAAGAATTTCCTTACAATGGTTCCTTTTTCCCTCTTGAAGCCGCTGCTTCTCCTTTATAGCCGTCGCGGAGCGTTGACACCTTCCTTCTCCTTGATGGGACTTGTCACGAGACAGGATCCGTCGGCATCGAACCCTACCGTTTGAGTAGGTTCGCCGTCGGATCCTTCCGCTGCCCTCATCTTCTGTACTATAGGATCTGCTGCAAGTTCTCTAAGTCCCGTCGTCTTATGCTTCGCTTGGGCTGTTGGATTGTAGCACTAGATTGGGCCAGCTTTATTGAGACTATGCTCTCCTCGGCCTAGTTACTGCTGTCGAGGTCTCATCAGAGAGCTCTCAAGATTTCCTCTCCAAATCCGTCTCCTCTTTCCTCTTCCCCCTTCGCTATTCTATCTATCTCTCACACTCAACAATCAATTACCTTTGCCTTGGGGTTTTGAGTTTTTCTATGTTTTTATTAAAATAGCATGTAGAGAATACCATAATCGAATTTCCTGCTTGTTATTTATGTAATTAAATGAGTTCCATAAACATGGAACATCCTGATAAAGCCACCTAATTAATTCAAGAAATTGTACCAACCGGTAATAGTGAGATAAAATATAAAAAATCACGTATGAAGGAACAGAACAAGAACAATTATGCCTTAATGGTTAATTATACAGATAATTACTTATAACTGCTCATAATTGTGTCTACTTTTTAAAAAATAGCATGCAGAAAATGCTAGAAGTTAGTTAATTCAATAAATTATTCCAAGTGGGGGCATCACTACCAATAATACTGACAATAATAACGAAAAATCAGAAAAAATCGTAGCTGAAGGGACCGAATAAGAACGATAACAGTTTAATGGCGAATTTGACGGCTAGGGTGATGAAATAAATTTCATTTTCCCATGGTCAAACTTTTGACTTGGAGCCGCACGTGATAATATTAGGATCGGCGATCGGCGGCCGCCAAGACAAAATATCTAACGTCGTTGGGTGCAACAGTAAGTTGTCAGTGGATATTTTAGAAAAGTTTCCCTCTCTCAGCCCTACCATCAGGTAGGTCGCCGTCCAACAACGCTGACGGGGGACCCATACGGCGGCGGAGCGGCGGTCCCATCGCGGGCCGGGCTTGTCCCTAAATCGGCAGGCCTCACCGGCCCGTTGCTCGGGGCCCCGGATTTAGTCAAGCCCGAGTCAACAAAGATAGGCGGAACGTGCGGGTACGAAGCTGGGCCAACTTTGCCAGCACGGTGGATCATCCCCACCGTTGTTACGCAAGTTTCAGACTTTAAAAGGCCAATCCCGTCCACACAACCCAATCCATTTCGCAGCTCCAGATCTCGCCAACCATGGAGAGAAGAAATATTGTCGGTGCGCTTCTGCAGGCGTTGATGGTGGTAGTGGCCCTCGCCGCTGGGGTGGCGACGGTCGGGGGCTCTCCGCCAGAGCCGATCGTCAAGTGCAAGTCCGGCAATTCCGATTGCACCGTCACCAACGCCTTCGGCACCTTCCCCGACCGCACCACCTGCCGCGTCGCCGCTGTGGCCTACCCCGCCAATGAAGCAGAGCTCGTGGCCGTCGTCTCCGCCGCGGCGGCAAAGAAGCAGCACATGAAGGTGGTCACCGAGTACGGCCACAGCATCCCCAAGTTGTCCTGCCCCGGTGGCCCCGCCGGCGCCGGGCTGGCCATCAGCTCCCAAAAGCTGAACAGAGTGGTAGCCGTCGACGCCAAGGCCAGACGGATGACCTTCGAAGCCGGCATCACCCTGCAGCGGCTCATCGCCGCCGCCGCCGCCGAGGGGCTGGCGCTGAGGTATAATCCCTACTGGCACGGAATCACCCTGGGGGGCCTCCTCGCGACAGGCGCCCACGGCAGCTCCCTCTTCGGGAAGGGCTCCGCTGTGCACGAATACGTGGTGGGAATGCGGATGGTAGTCCCCACCACCGCCCCCGCGGCCGGCGGAGTCCACGCCAGAATCGTCGATCTCCGAGAAGGGGACCCGGATCTCTTGGCCGCCAAGGTTTCCCTCGGTGTTCTCGGCGTCATTTCCCAGGTAGAATATACAGTCGCTACAGAATAGAAACTGAAACACTAAGTTTAGCAAATAGAATCGTTGTCTCACCGGACTGGCCCGTTCGCAGGTGACGCTACAGCTGGAGCCGATGTTCAAGAGGTCCATCACCTACCGAACCCAGCGAGACCACGCCTTCGAGTCGACGGTGAGTTCATTTGCCGCCACCACCGAGTTCGGGGACATCGCCTGGTACCCCGGGCAGGAGAAGGTGGTGTACCGGGACGACGTAAGGCTGCCGTTGACAGCGCAGGGGAAGGGGAAGAACGACTTCGCGGGGTTTCAGCCGCAGCTGTCCGTGCTCATCTCCGCGATCCGAAAATCAGGTCCGACATTGAGATAAATCCTCCTCCATTCTTCGACGAGGTTTCTGACCCGTCTGAGCTTCTGCTCTTCCCCCCGCAGAGGAACTGCTGGAGGAGACGGAGAGCTCAGACGGCAAGTGCCTCCTCGCCAAGATCCAGGTGAACACCTTGCTCGCCACCGGCGCCGGCCTGAAGAACGACGACAGCCGTCTTATAGACTTCACGGGGTTCCCCGTAGTCGGCAACCAAAGCGACATGCAGTCGTCAGGCTCTTGCCTCACCGGCAAGGACGACGGACTCCTCACCGCCTGCGGCTGGGACCCTCGCCTGGACGGGTTCTTCTACCACCAGACGGCGTTCAGCATCCCCATTCCCACCGTCGCCGCCTTCATTGCCGACGTGAAGAAGCTCCACGCCCTGAGGCCCGGTTCCCTCTGCGGGCTCGACCTCTACAGCGGGTTACTCATGAGGTTTGTCCGCAACTCCACCGCCTTCCTGGGCAAGACGGCCGACTGTGCCGACTTCGACATGACCTACTTCCGCTCGAACGACCCGGAGGACCCCCGCCTGGACCAGGACATCCTCGAGGAGGTGGAGCAGATGGCCTTCTTCAAGTACGGCGCGCTCCCACACTGGGGCAAGAACCGGCACGTCGGGTTCATCGGCGTCAGCGACAAGTACGGCGATAGGTGAGGGTTAATCCGCCGCTGCTCCGATCCCTCGACTTGCTGCTCCTCCGATCTGATCCGTGGTTTTTCCGGAATGGCAGGCGGGACCGGTTCGTGGCGGCGATGACGAAGTACGACAGCGAGGGGCTCTTCTCCTCCGACTGGGTCGACGCCGTGCTGGGCATCCGGGGGAAGAGCCTGTCACTGGAGAAGGAGGGCTGCGCACTGGAAGGCCTCTGCATCTGCTCTCGCGACGAGCACTGCTCGCCGGCGAAGGGGTACTTCTGTCGCCGGGGACTGGTTTACAAGGAAGCTAGGGTCTGCAGGAAATCCGAGAAGGAGGACGACGCCCCCATTGTTCACACGGAGCTTTAACCTGCTGGCGACGGTGGCGCCGCCTCTGGTTATCTATGGTCGGCCGTGTATCAGCCACTTCCCGCTGTCTTCGCAAGACCAGCAATAAATAAAGAAGCCTTTTCGCCCTTGGAGAAGTCGCATTTCACACGATACGGCGGACGATGATATTTATCGACGACTGTCTGAACGCAGATATTCCTCAGTATTAATTTTTTTAATTTTAAACAAAAATGATTTTAATCGGGGTTTTCTGCTTATTTTATAACCACTTGCACACCTCTCCTTCTCTCCTTCCATTCTCTATTTGCCTTCATCCCACGTTCCTTCTGGGTTTCGGCCCATATTATACATGTTTCAGCCCACTTAAACGGGTTTTCGGCCCGCAATTATGTTGTGGCCCATCTAATTGCCGTAAAATTATTGCGCATTATTCACGAGAATCTTGGAATTATCTATCTGCTTCTAACGTGTAGGGCCGATTAGTCCTGGCCATCATCCGTAGTATTCGATCCTAGCCGTCCAATTCTTTCTCTCTACGCGGTGTGGACTACCACCGTGTGGTTCGACCATTGACCTTTCCTGACCGCGTTCTGGACCCAACTTGGACCGAATTTTGACCCGACGAGAAATCGATATCTGCCACGTCGGATTAAAGTCCTGTGCGTTGGAGCCGTTCGCATCTCTCACCCTTGCTGATGTCATGCCACAGAGTTCTCACCAATACGGGCAGTAAATAAAATCTGGAAAAAAATGGGTGCTGTGAAAAGTCCGCTCCCATGGCCGATGTTGACGGGTAAGATTGGGCTGATAGCCTTCCTACATATGCTATGGCCCAATCCTAATGAGTGGGAGAGAGAGAGAGAGAGAGAGAGAGAGACTAGTCAATCTTGGTCAAAGTTAGACTATTGACTAGACTCGGCTTCTGTGTAGATATATCGGTTTCTATTAATGCCGAATTTGACTTATTGGGAAGGAAAATCGATGGAAGAGAAAAATGGTGTGCGACAGAGTCAGCGGTTCCCATTAGAAAGTCGGAGCGTTGCCGCGTTCCACCCGGCGAGCTCACTGCCGACGTCCTCCCCGACCGCTGCCCGCCGTTGCCGGAGTCGTAAAGTAGGACTCGCTGAGTGCCCCCTCTCCCATAAATCTTCATCAACCCTCCGCTTCCCTCTCCCACGGCTCCTCCCAGAGCGAGAGAGGAAGAGAGAGAGAGAGAAGGAGAGAGGGTTTTGTGGCGCCGGTTAGATGAAGGAGGGAGGGGAGGGGGGGAGCGGCGGCGGCGGGGGCAGTAAGATAGGGAGGATGGCGGAGGCGCCGTTCCGGGTGCTGCGGCGTGCGAGGGACGCGTATGTGAACGGCATGACGGGCATCGCCGGGAGGGCCAGTTCTCGGGGGATAGTAGGCGCGTCGAGGGGCTACCGCTTTCCGCCGCCGCGGCCCGACAGCGGCAGGGGGAATGACCTGGGGGAGCTTCTCAGGTCCGCCTCCGCTCCCATCAAGGCCACAGAAGGGGCTGTTGCGAGGAGCCAGAGCTTGGGGATCGCCAGGATCGACGAGAACGAGGCCTGCGACTTCAGCGGTGACGTCGTTGGCGGCCCGTTCTGGCCGAGAAGTCGGAGCTCCGCCGAGGTAGAGAACAGGGTAGGAGGGTTCTTGCCATGAGATCTCCTCTTGTTCTTCCACGAAACTGTTCTAGTAACTAAGAATTTCTGTCCATGTTCAGCAAAGCATTGAATCCAAAAATAGCCGATTTTTTCTATATATTCCATACACATAGAATATCTGGATTAAGTTACTTGAATGGTTCGTGAAAGTTATATTCACCGGGCCATTGATAATACTAATAATAAATAATAGATGTGGCCACGTGAATAATAAGATAGATATCAGGTTATAACACATGGAAAGAATTCTGCCAAACAATGCTATTTTGAAGGTGAAGAAAAATCTAATGAGTTGTTGATGATGGCATGATCATATGATCTCATATGAGTCAGTGGTTGAAATTTAAAAATTCACTACTCAAGGTTAAAATTTAGAATATGAGCCATATGAGACAATACTAGGATTGTTGATGGCATCCAGTAAAGCTTGTTAATGTTACAAAAGGTTGCTGGTTGTTGGAGAACGCATCGGTGGCAGTGAGAGAGCCATTGGCTCGTACAAGAAGAGAGAGAAATATAAAGGTAAAAATTTAATTAAAAAGTAGATATGAATATTTATACTAGGATATGAATATGTTTATTTATGTCAACACTATTAAGTTTTGGCCTACACTAAAACCAAGAAAGGGGGTTGAATTGATCTTCTCTTTTCTTATTTCGTTCCTTGATAAGGTATCTCAAAATTTTATTCTTTTCTTATAATGATGGATAGGTGGATCTCCTAGTTCACTTAGAATACATGATATTTTATAGTGGTTTGGCCAGTTTCTTATCTCCACTCTCCAAGAACAAAATTATTTTTGTGTTCCACTAATAATTTTCCAAAAGATGATTAATGAACTTGGCTCCCTTGAACATTTACTAAGAATCTCCTTTCTAGATTCACAGTTCTAAGATGCCACATTGTTGATTACTGGACTCAACTCCAATCAAATTTCACTCGAACATTTCTTTTTAGATTCATGGCTTTAGGAGGCTACAGCACTATTAACATGGACAACTCTCACTCATGATAAATAAGAGTTTAATATCCTATTTATCTCACAATATAAAATAAAGATGTTATAGTGGGATGATTTCAAAAAGATGGTGTTGACTTAGAGTACATCAAGAATGTTGATGAAGAGGATAATGATTCAGACTTGATATTTTCTGTACACTTCTTATAAAGGTGCCAGCTGAAGATGGATGGCATTATCCTTTTGAACTGATTGATGTCAGTCACTGAATACTTAAGTAATACTCCACAACTTAGTGCCTTACACAATTTGATCAGCCAGCAAAGATCTCACAATCTATTTTAGATATTTCTATTGATAAACTCAGTATAAATCTTGAGGTTCTGAATGGGCTAAAGAGAGATGTTCAGCTCTAATTAGCTATTGACAAGTTGTTGTATTTATAAAGATATTTAATTCAAAATTTCTTCATGTTTTTCATTATCTCACAATGGTAACATTTTTAGAAATGATTAGAAATTCAAATGACTGGAATAATGCCATTTATAAGTTTGGATATATTTAAGAGAAATCAGTGCATTATTATTTTAAAGCACAATATGAATATCCAAATTGCATCGATTTAATCAAAGATCGATAAGGATTTAATATCATTTTAATATGACCTACAATATATATCTTGATACGATAATGGTCTAAGAATCAAATGTTATTTGAATCACCTTAAATCAAACACAAACTTCAAGTTAACATCATGAATAATGATCTCAATATTTATAATCATGATTTAGGTGATTCAAAATATATAAAATAATTTTATAAAATATATTCTTTACTATCTAGAAAATCATGTTTGACTGAGTAAAGAATATGAATTCAATCGATTAAAATTATATCAAAATCATTCAAAAGTGAATACCTAATGTCACGACTACACAATAGACTAAGTCAGCTTTCATACCCATATTTTACGTCTTGTCATATTATTGATTCTAATATACCTATCATTACTTTCTCATTATAACATATTATGTAAATATTGAAAATTTTCACAGTAATATATAATATGATAATTTCATAAAATAAAATTAATCAAATATATAGATTTAACATTATTGATTAGAAGTATGTTCAACGAATTCTCATATAAACATTTTAAAATGTTATATTAAATTATATATGAGTACTCTAATATTGTCCTCAAGTCAAGTATATTCAGGATTAGACATAATTCACTTTTTTAATTGATCTTATGAACATTTGTCATCGTCAAACAATCATTAATTTAATGCTTCAACAAAACTAGATATGACACACTCAAGAACAAAATTCAATAAACATATATCAAAATAGGAAATAATTTTGGTATGGATGTCATATCTCATTCTGTGACATTCATCATCGAGTTGATGAATATATGTCATAAAGTCTCAACTTGGATCTAAACCTCAAAAACATTTGATCCACCTAATCCATTGGTGGGAATATTTGTCAATTATTTATGGGTTGAAATATATAGTTTGCAGATGGTGCCACTATAGAACAATTTCTTGATGAAGTGTCAGTTAGTCTCAACATACTTAGTTTGATTGTGTTACACTAAATTGTGTGCAATATTTATGATGGATTTGTAGTCACAATATAGTTTGATTAATGGCTTCTATGACAGCACTTAGACTATGGAGGGTGGCTGAATTAATTTATATAATATTTTTAAATCACAATCTCTACAATTCTCTTTTAGTCTTTCCTATTTGTAAACAAAAGAAACCATAACTGATATAGTGGTTTGGTTCCCTTGACCTTCACCTACTTTATAAAGAACACATGTGCTTTGCTTCACCTAACAACTTAATATTCCACGACTAATACAAATGCTCAGCTCCCACTAAGAACTTCACACAAGTCACTCTAGATCACCCAATCTAGATAATTATATCACTGATTGTAGGAATGTTGTTTGTCACACAACCCCTCTAATATTCAAGATGTGATTTTGCAAAATAAAAGAAGGTCACATTTTTTTACTAGTGCATCTATCGTCAAGAAGCCTTTGTCATACTCACGAGAACTGTTTGTTCTATTATTTGATACAATATTTGAATATTTCATGTATTTGAGCACTTTGCATTTTTTCACTAGTTCATCCATCATCAAGATGGCTTGATGAAAAATTTATGAGAACTTTTTGCTCTACTAGTTGATACTTGCATTTGATCACTTCATATACTTGGGCTTATCTACATTCATTAATCTAGAAAAACTATTTTTAAAATAATGAATCTTTTATGTTTACCGAGCTATATTAACAAGTGTTAGTGAAACCTAAGGACATGACCTTTAGAAAGTGGATTAGGCTTGGTGTGCCCAATCACTATAAACATTTAGTTCTCATATTTAATGCTCTTAATTGACAAATTGGTTATCCTAATTGATATAATTAAGTATGAAATTAAAATAATTTTAACTAAATAGTTCACAATCTTTGAGTTTTTAGATAAAGGTAATGATGCTCCTCTAAGAAAAGGCCTATAAAAGTGAAATGTTATTGTGTGTTAGAGGGAGGGATGAGAACAAAACAACTATGATCACTCCACCACCTTTGAGTGTACTTGTAAATTTGAACTGTTTGAAGTTCTAAATCTACTGAAGCCTTCAATAAAATGATTCAAGTGAAGAGAAGGTATCAAGATCTTAAGCTACATCAACAGACAGGGTTTAGAAAACACACAAAAATGAGATGTTTATGTTATTAAAGAGCACCAGTATATATTAACGACAATGTTCTAGTATATCAAGCTTACATTGTATAATAGACAAGTACATTAAAGTTAACATTTAAATATATGAGAAGTTTGCATTGTAGAAAATATGAAATATATAAAGTTTATGTTGTAGAATGGTGCTATTAGAAATGAGAGGGGTTTAATCGTCTTGTCCACTTCTTGATTTTTAATATCCCATCTATGTATGGGAGCCAAAATTCTAGTGGTTTAGGCCATCCAGCATGCTCTGCTTTCAAAAAATCTCATGCTAAGGTTCTAATAACTCTTATTAATACAGTCCTAGAACACAAAAGACTTTAGGTAGCCTCTCAATAGATTTAGTGCCTCTAGCCAACCCAAGTGTTTCCCAAAAACCCTCATTCTAGAATCGCTGACACTGAGTCAATCAACTAGCACAACTAATTTTCTTTACATTAATGTCTTAAGGTCAGCCCTAGTATTGAAAGTACTCAAATAAATGGATATAATAATTAAATATCCTTAAACCGACCTCATGTCACTTCTACTGATTTTAAAGCTTGGTGGGTAGAAGATTCTTTCATACAGAAGCCATTTCTTTATTCATTAATGCTCGAGAGAGGACAGTGGCAAGTGGCGTACAAACAGCCGACCATAGCCATCCAGAGGCGATCCCGCCGCCGCCGCGAGGTCACAGTTCTATGTGAACAATGGGGGCGTCGCCGTCCCCGACTTCCGGCAGACCCTAGCATCTTCGTAAACCAGCCCCCGGAGGCAGAAGTACCCCTTCGCTGGCGCACAGTGCTCGTCGCGAGAACAGATGCAGAGACCTTCCAGGGCGCAGCCCTTCTTCTCGACCGACAAACTCTTCCCCCGGATGCCCAGCACAGCGTCGGTCCAGTCAGAAGAGAAGAGCCCCTCGCCGTCGTACTTTACCATCGCCGCCACGAACCGGTCCCTCCTGCCGCCGGAACAAACACAGATCAGATTGGAGGACCAGCAAGTCGAGTGATCGGAGCGGCGGAGGATTCACTCTCACTCACCGGTCGCCGTACTTGTCGCCGGCGCCGATGAACCCAACGTGCCGGTTCTTCCCCCAGTGCGGCACCGCGCCGTACTTGAAGAAGGCCATTTGCTCTACCTCCTCGAGGATGTCCTGGTCCAGGGGGGGATCCTCCGGGTCTTTCGAGCGGAAGTAGGTCATGTCGAAGTCGGCACAGTCGGCCGTCTTGCCCAGGTAGACCGTGGAGTTGCGGACGAACCTCATGAGCAGCCCGCTGTAGAGGTCGAGCCCGCAGAGAGAGCCGGGCCTCTGGGCGTGGAGTTTCTTGACATCGGCGACGAAGGCCGCGACGTCCGGCATGGGGATGCTGAACGCCGTCTGGCGGTAGAAGAGCCCGTCTATGGGGGGGTCCCAGATGCAGGCCTTGAGGAGGTCGTCGTCCTCACCGGTGAGGCACGAGCCTGAGGACTGCATCTCGCTCTGGTTGCCGACGACCGGGTACTCCGTGAAGTCAGTAAGACTGCTCTCGTGGTTCTTCAGGCCGGCGCCGGTGGCGAGCGAGGTGGTCATCTGGATCTTGGCAAGGATGCACCTGCCGTTCGAGTTCTCCATCGCCTCCAGCAGCTCCTCTGCAGGGAAGCCCAGAACCTCCGACGGGTCAGCAACCTCGTCGAAGAATTGGAGGATTTTCATCTGTGTCTGACCTGATTTTCGGAGCGTGGAGATGAGCACCGACAGCTGCGGCTGGAATCCGTTAAAGTCATTCTTCCCCTTCCCCGGTGCCGTAACCAGCAGCCTCACGTCGTCCCTGTACACCACCTTCTCCGGCCCGGGGTACCAGGCGATGTCCCCGAACTCAGTGGTGGTGGCAAATGAACTCACCGTCGACTCGAAGGCCTGGTCTCGCTGGACTCGGTAGGTGATGGATCTCTTGAACATCGGCTCCTGTGAACGGGAGCCTTGCACGTGGGCCCCCCTGTTCGCATAACGGCATGGTGCGGTTATGCGAGAAGTGCTCTGACGTGTACACGTCAGAGCACGTTGTGCGGTAATGCAGAATTTTCTGCATGACGCGCATTACTGGCCAGTCTTGGCCAGTTAGTTATTTCTTACGGTTATTTCTTTCCCACTTTGTTTTCTTATTTCAAAGGACTGTAAGAGTTTTTTTAAACAGCGTGATGATCTCGCCGGCGACGTCTTAACTGCCGTCGTCTCTCCGACGAGTTTTGACAAGTGGTATCAGAGCACCCAGGTTGCGGGCCGGGACTCGATCGCGGCAAGGTACAGCCGTTGGAATCGAGAACGCGCAATCGAGACGCGCTATGGCAGGAGGAAAGGACGGCGCGGTCCAGAGGGTGATTCGTGTGAGGTGAGCGCCGGGACCGGGTTCCCAATGCTCACCAAGACCAACTACTCCGACTGGGCGCTGCTCATGAAGGTCAAGCTCAGAGCCCGGTTGCTCTGGACCGCCATTGAGAAAGGGGGCGTCGAACCCCATGAAGACATGCAGGCGCTCGACGCGCTCTGCAGCGCCGTGCCGCCGGAAATGTGGCCGGTGATCGCGGACAAGGAGACGGCAAAGGAGGCCTGGGAGGCTATCGCCACCATGCGGATCGGCGATGACCGCGTAAAGAAGACGTCGGCGACGTTCAAGGAGGGAGAGTCTGTTGAGGACTACGCGCTGCGTCTCAACAGCATGGCGTCGACTCTCACCACCCTCGGCGACAAGGTCGAAGAGACGCAGGTAGTGGAGAAGATAATCCGCAGTGTTCCCCAGCGTTTCAGACAGATCATGGTCGCGATCACGATGCTGCTCGACGTGTCGACGCTCACCGTCGCGGATTTGACGGGTCGACTCAAGGCGGCGGAGGATGCCTTCGAGAAACCGCCGTCGGCTATGCACCACGACGGCAAGCTGTACCTGACCGAGGAAGAGTGGGACGCACGGCGGAGGAAGCGTGATGCTGAGAAAACTGGTGGTGGAGGTAGCAGCAGCGTGACGCACCGTGGCGGACATGGGCCGGGGCGCGGGCGCGGCCGTGGCAGCGACAAGGGCTCGTCATCAGGCGGCCTGACGGGCAACTCAGGCCGGCCCAGCGGTGATGAGTGCAGGAGATGCGGGAAGCTGGGCCACTGGGCCCGCGAGTGCCGCTCTAAGCCCAAGAAAGAGCAGGCCCACGTCGTCCAGGATGAGGAGGAGGCCTCGCTCCTTCTCGTGAAGTCAACGACGGCCATATCGACGGCGCCGCCACCAACCTCCACTCCACCACGTTTTGCTGCGACTCCGCAGGCAGAGGATCGGCTCCGGCGTGCAAGCCCACCGCCGCCGGGAGCAAAAGGGGTCCCCGTCAATGGAGGGGCCGCCGAAGAAGAGAAGAAGCCAGGCGCCCAGACCCAGATCCATCTGCGGGAAGAGAAGGTGTTCGCCCACCTTGAAGAGGAGGAGCTGCGTGATGAGGAGGCGTGGGTCGTGGACACGGGCGCCACGAACCACATGTCGGGTTCCCGTACGGCTTTCACCGAGCTGGACACGGCGGTGCTTGGGACGGTGCGGTTCGGCGACGACTCGGTGGCGCGGATCGAAGGCCGGGGGGCAATCGTGTTCCTGTCCTTCGCGGGGGTGTATTACATTCCCCGACTGACGACGAACATCGTCAGCGTCGGCCAACTCGATGAGGCCGGGTACCATATCGACATCGAGAAGGGGGCGATGAAGGTCCATCAGCCAGGCGGACGGCTCCTGGCGAAGGTGATGCGCGGAAGAACCGGCTGTACATTCTCCACGCCAAGCTGGTTCGGCCGGTGTGCCTGGAGGCGCGGGGAGTCGAAGAAGCTTGGAAATGGCACGCGCGCCTCGGACATGTCAACATGGCCGCGCTGCGTAAGATGGCTCGGGAGGAGCTGATGCGCGGGTTGCCGGCAGTTGGTCAGGTGGACCAGCTGTGTGAGGCGTGTCTCGCTGGCAAGCAGAAGCGGTCGCCGTTCCCCGAGCAGGGAGAGTACCGGGCGCGGCGTGTTCTGGAGCTGGTGCACAGCGACCTCTGTGGTCCGATTGCGCCGGAAACGCCAAACGGTAGCAAGTATTTCCTGCTGCTCGTGGATGATCGAAGCCGGCACATGTGGGTGGCCATGCTGCCTTCAAAGGAACGTGCTGCAGTGGCCATCAAGGAGATCAAGGCTCGGGCAGAAGGCGAGTCAGGACTGAAGCTGGGAGCGCTCCGTACTGATCGGGGCGGCGAATTCACCTCACATGAGTTCGCGGAGTACTGCGCGGGAGAAGGTATTCATCGTCAACACACGGCGCCATACAGCCCGCAGCAGAATGGCATCGTCGAGCGCAGGAACGGCACGGTGGTAGCAACCGCGAGGAGCATGCTCAAGGCAAAGGGACTGCCGGGCTGGTTTTGGGGTGAGGCAGTGGCAACTGCTGTATACATCCTGAACCGGCGGCGCACCATCTGAAGGTGTTCGGATGCATCACCTACGTCCTGAACACGACACCACATCTCAAGAAGCTGGAGGACCGCGGCCGCAAGATGATCTTCATCGGCTACGAGTGCGGATCAAAGGCCTACCGTGCCTACGATCCCACCACGAGGCGTGTCCATGTGACACGGGACGTGGTGTTCGACGAAAATGCCCAGTGGGACTGGGGCAGCGGCGCGGAGCAAGGGGATGCGGGCAGCCACGACGACATGTTCACATTGGAGTATGCCGTCGGGAACCAGGTACCTCCGGAGCTCGATGGCGCCATCGAGGTACTTGATGATGATGCGCCGGGACCGGAGCCAATGTCGCCACCGTCCGTGCACTCCAGTGGGGGAGCGGTGCCGATTGAAGATGGAGGAAAGGAGGTGGAGTTCGCCACTCCACCCAGTGTCCACATCGACCACCTGGATGCTAATCACGATGATGTGCCACTCCGGTTCCGCAAGATCGACGACATCGTTGGGCTGGCCTCGCCGCGTGGTCTCGCGTCGCGGGCGTTAATTGCAAAGGAGCTGCACGCTGTAAGTTCTGATGAGCCGGTCTCTTTTGCTGAAGCAGAGGGCCACCCGAGCTGGAGGAAGGCTATGGAGGAGGAGATGGCGTCGATCGAGGAGAACCGCACCTGGTCCCTGGTTGACCTCCCAGATAACGGAGAATTTGCTTTTTCAAGTGATCCTTTCGTGGCTCCTCTAGAAAATGACTCACATAGCCAACAACAAATGCCAGGTCTGGACGAGTATTGACCAGGTACCTGAGACTCCCCACGATGCTTCTGTATGCTGATCGAGGTGCCCCCCGTGCTCTGCCTGACTTCAATGCCGAGATAGTAGCGAAGCAGGCCGAGGTCGCTCATCCTAAATGCATCAGCCATCTCCTTTTTGAACTGCTTGATGTCGTCGCAGCTGGCGCCAATGATCACCAGGTCATCGACGTACACCCCGACCACCAGCTGCATCTCCCCATTCCACCTGGTGTAGATGGCCTGTTCCGAGAGACTCCTCCTGAATCTGAACGACAGTAGCGTTTCGTCTAGCTTCGCATTCCAGGCCCTAGGCGCCTGATGCAAGCCGTAGAGTGCCTTTTTCAACTTGAACACCTTGTGCTCATTGCCCGTGCTGATGAAACCGGCCGACTGCTCCACGTACACCTCTTCCTTGAGATCGCCATTCAAGAACGCCGACTTGACGTCCATGTGGTGCACCTCCCACCCCTCGTGCACCGCGAGAGTGATGAGAAGGGGCGGTTCTCCTCGATCCCCCGGTGACCATGTGGGAGGTCAACCAGGGACCAGGTGCGGTTCTCCTCGATCGACGCCATCTCCTCCTCCATAGCCTTCCTCCAGCTCGGGTGGCCCTCTGCTTCAGCAAAAGAGACCGGCTCATCAGAACTTACAGCGTGCAGCTCCTTTGCAATTAACGCCCGCGACGCGAGACCACGCGGCGAGGCCAGCCCAACGATGTCGTCGATCTTGCGGAACCGGAGTGGCACATCATCGTGATTAGCATCCAGGTGGTCGATGTGGACACTGGGTGGAGTGGCGAACTCCACCTCCTTTCCTCCATCTTCAATCGGCACCGCTCCCCCACTGGAGTGCACGGACGGTGGCGACATTGGCTCCGGTCCCGGCGCATCATCATCAAGTACCTCGATGGCGCCATCGAGCTCCGGAGGTACCTGGTTCCCGACGGCATACTCCAATGTGAACATGTCGTCGTGGCTGCCCGCATCCCCTTGCTCCGCGCCGCTGCCCCAGTCCCACTGGGCATTTTCGTCGAACACCACGTCCCGTGTCACATGGACACGCCTCGTGGTGGGATCGTAGGCACGGTAGGCCTTTGATCCGCACTCGTAGCCGATGAAGATCATCTTGCGGCCGCGGTCCTCCAGCTTCTTGAGATGTGGTGTCGTGTTCAGGACGTAGGTGATGCATCCGAACACCTTCAGATGGTGCGCCGCCGGTTCAGGATGTATACAGCAGTTGCCACTGCCTCACCCCAAAACCAGCCCGGCAGTCCCTTTGCCTTGAGCATGCTCCTCGCGGTTGCTACCACCGTGCCGTTCCTGCGCTCGACGATGCCATTCTGCTGCGGGCTGTATGGCGCCGTGTGTTGACGATGAATACCTTCTCCCGCGCAGTACTCCGCGAACTCATGTGAGGTGAATTCGCCGCCCCGATCAGTACGGAGCGCTCCCAGCTTCAGTCCTGACTCGCCTTCTGCCCGAGCCTTGATCTCCTTGATGGCCACTGCAGCACGTTCCTTTGAAGGCAGCATGGCCACCCACATGTGCCGGCTTCGATCATCCACGAGCAGCAGGAAATACTTGCTACCGTTTGGCGTTTCCGGCGCAATCGGACCACAGAGGTCGCTGTGCACCAGCTCCAGAACACGCCGCGCCCGGTACTCTCCCTGCTCGGGGAACGGCGACCGCTTCTGCTTGCCAGCGAGACACGCCTCACACAGCTGGTCCACCTGACCAACTGCCGGCAACCCGCGCATCAGCTCCTCCCGAGCCATCTTACGCAGCGCGGCCATGTTGACATGTCCGAGGCGCGCGTGCCATTTCCAAGCTTCTTCGACTCCCCGCGCCTCCAGGCACACCGGCCGAACCAGCTTGGCGTGGAGAATGTACAGCCGGTTCTTCCGCGCATCACCTTCGCCAGGAGCCGTCCGCCTGGCTGATGGACCTTCATCGCCCCCTTCTCGATGTCGATATGGTACCCGGCCTCATCGAGTTGGCCGACGCTGACGATGTTCGTCGTCAGTCGGGGAATGTAATACACCCCCGCGAAGGACAGGAACACGATTGCCCCCCGGCCTTCGATCCGCGCCACCGAGTCGTCGCCGAACCGCACCGTCCCAAGCACCGCCGTGTCCAGCTCGGTGAAAGCCGTACGGGAACCCGACATGTGGTTCGTGGCGCCCGTGTCCACGACCCACGCCTCCTCATCACGCAGCTCCTCCTCTTCAAGGTGGGCGAACACCTTCTCTTCCCGCAGATGGATCTGGGTCTGGGCGCCTGGCTTCTTCTCTTCTTTGGCGGCCCCTCCATTGACGGGGACCCCTTTTGCTCCCGGCGGCGGTGGGCTTGCACGCCGGAGCCGATCCTCTGCCTGCGGAGTCGCAGCAAAACGTGGTGGAGTGGAGGTTGGTGGCGGCGCCGTCGATATGGCCGTCGTTGACTTCACGAGAAGGAGCGAGGCCTCCTCCTCATCCTGGACGACGTGGGCCTGCTCTTTCTTGGGCTTAGAGCGGCACTCGCGGGCCCAGTGGCCCAGCTTCCCGCATCTCCTGCACTCATCACCGCTGGGCCGGCCTGAGTTGCCCGTCAGGCCGCCTGATGACGAGCCCTTGTCGCTGCCACGGCCGCGCCCGCGCCCCGGCCCATGTCCGCCACGGTGCGTCACGCTGCTGCTACCTCCACCACCAGTTTTCTCAGCATCACGCTTCCTCCGCCGTGCGTCCCACTCTTCCTCGGTCAGGTACAGCTTGCCGTCGTGGTGCATAGCCGACGGCGGTTTCTCGAAGGCATCCTCCGCCGCCTTGAGTCGACCCGTCAAATCCGCGACGGTGAGCGTCGACACGTCGAGCAGCATCGTGATCGCGACCATGATCTGTCTGAAACGCTGGGGAACACTGCGGATTATCTTCTCCACTACCTGCGTCTCTTCGACCTTGTCGCCGAGGGTGGTGAGAGTCGACGCCATGCTGTTGAGACGCAGCGCGTAGTCCTCAACAGACTCTCCCTCCTTGAACGTCGCCGACGTCTTCTTTACGCGGTCATCGCCGATCCGCATGGTGGCGATAGCCTCCCAGGCCTCCTTTGCCGTCTCCTTGTCCGCGATCACCGGCCACATTTCCGGCGGCACGGCGCTGCAGAGCGCGTCGAGCGCCTGCATGTCTTCATGGGGTTCGACGCCCCCTTTCTCAATGGCGGTCCAGAGCAACCGGGCTCTGAGCTTGACCTTCATGAGCAGCGCCCAGTCGGAGTAGTTGGTCTTGGTGAGCATTGGGAACCCGGTCCCGGCGCTCACCTCACACGAATCACCCTCTGGACCGCGCCGTCCTTTCCTCCTGCCATAGCGCGTCTCGATTGCGCGTTCTCGATTCCAACGGCTGTACCTTGCCGCGATCGAGTCCCGGCCCGCAACCTGGGTGCTCTGATACCACTTGTCAAAACTCGTCGGAGAGACGACGGCAGTTAAGACGTCGCCGGCGAGATCATCACGCTGTTTAAAAAAACTCTTACAGTCCTTTGAAATAAGAAAACAAAGTGGGAAAGAAATAACCGTAAGAAATAACTAACTGGCCAAGACTGGCCAGTAATGCGCGTCATGCAGAAAATTCTGCATTACCGCACAACGTGCTCTGACGTGTACACGTCAGAGCACTTCTCGCATAACCGCACCATGCCGTTATGCGAACAGGGGGGCCCACGTGCAAGGCTCCCGTTCACAGCTGCAGTGTCACCTGAGGACGGCCATCTCGGGTGAGACGAAGATTCTACATGCTAAACCTAATGTTTCGGTTTCTATTCTATAGCAAGGATATACTCTACCTGGGAGACGACACCGAGAACACCAAGGGCGACCTTGGCCGCCAAGAGATCCGGGTCGCCTTCTCGGAGGTCGACGACTCTGGCTTGGACTCCGCCGGCCGCGGCGGCGGTGGGGACTATCAGCCGCATCCCCACCACGTATTCGTGCACAGCGGAACCCTTCCGAAGAGGGAGCTGCCGTGGGCGCCCGTCGCGAGGAGGCCCCCAAGAGTGACCCCGTACCAGTAGGGACTGTGTAGCAGCGGCAGCCCCTCGGCGGCGGCGGCGGCGAAGAGCCGCTGTAGGGTGATGCCGGCTTCGAAGGTCATCCGTCTGGCCTTAGCGTCGATGGCCACCACCCTGTTCAGCTTCTGAGTGCTGATGGCCAACCCGGTGCCAACGGGGCCGCCGGGGCAGGACAGCTTCGGGATGCTGTGGCCGTACTCGGTGACCACCTTCATGTGCTGTTTCTTTGCGGTGGCGGTGGAGACGACGGCCACGAGCTCTGCTTCGTCCGCGGGGTAAGCGACGGCGGCGACGCGGCAGGTGGTGCGGTCGGGGAAGACGCCGTAGGTGTTAGTAACGGTGCAGTCGGAGTTGACGGACTTGCACTTCACGATGGGCTCTGGTGGAGAGCCGGCGACCGTAGCCACCACGGCGGCGAGGATTCCCACCACCACCACCAACGTGGGCAGAAGCACTCCGACGATATTTCTCCTTTCCATGGCCGGCGTGGAGCTGCGAACTTGATGGGTTGTATGGTCTTTTAGAGTCTGCACTTTCGGCACCTCACTGGGAAGGGTGGGGGCGAGGGTTGACGGAGATGGCAGTGGCGGAGAAGTTGACATTTTTTTTATAAGAATTAGGAAAAATTCCATGCACGTCGATTGACTTTTGGCCCTGAATTCGGGCTAGACCTGTTATTCTTCGTTGTTGGAGACTTTCAAGAAAAAAATGTCCCGAAAGGATCAAAGTTCTCTGCCGTGGACTCGCGGGTGCAAGAGGTTGTGATTACTCTGCTTTTCTATTAGAGGTGGTAGCGCGGATTATGACAACATGCAGCACTGGTTGACTTTGTTGACGCAGTTGGACATGACGACGTGGTGGAAATTTCTCACCACGTGCCCCCTCCCCACTCTGACTTGGTATGCCATTATTTTGACGGAGGGAGAAACTGAGATAGAGAAAGAGGGAGAGAGGATTACATAACAACCCCCCTCAAGCCCAGGCCCAATAAAGATCCACTTAGATAGAAAAGTGGGCCGATCAGCCGTTGTCCTGTTTATTTTGAGGGTGGATTAATGATTGACTGGGCGCTCCTTGTTCACTTTTTCAAAATCTGGGATATAGTCCCAAATAAAACGTAATAGAATTCCATTATCATATTTTTATTCTTCTCTTGAAGCGAGCGAGCCATAGATCGTGGAGAGAGGATTACATAACGTCTCCATATGCATTGGGCCCACTTTTCTATCTAAGTGGATCTTTATTGGGCCTGGGCTTGAGGGGGGTTGTTAGGTTTGGTGGGCTCTTGCAATTGTGATTGTAAATATAGGCGCATTATCTAATAGCCACTAATAATCCGGTACTCTTTTAGGTTGACAAAGGAAAAGGTCTTTAAATTGAAGCCCATTTTTAACCTATGAGTCCATGTGGCTACCTTGTGTTTGCCTATAGTCATAGGCTTCTATGTGACCTTAATGATGAAAAATGGCCCATTGATGAAGCAAAATAGCCCATCTAGATGAACTTCTTGTTGTAGAGGTCAAGCCTACAAAGAGTACTGGACCTTTGGGCATATAGCTTCTTGATGTTAGCAACAGAGGAACAGATGTTATGCCATCTGTTAGTAGAAGAGCCCTTCTAGGTGAGGGTCTCAACCTTAGGAGGTGAGGTTATCGTCCTTGTTGATGAGGCACACAATAGTAGGTTATCATATATATGTTGCCAAAGTGAGAGATTGATAGATTTGATCTTAATGTGGATAATTATATATGAATGATGTATTATACAACAATCAGTAAGTTAATCCATATTAAAGTGATTCATTAAAGATTAATAATTAATTACAAAATCTCTCATAAGTATGGGGTTAAATATGTGTATAAACTAATTCATATTTTACTTTTATGCTGGGAAAATTAAAAACTAATACTAGGAGACAAACCACTCTTGTCTATAAATAAGGGGCCAAGTGCTCACACATTATGCAAGAATTGAAAGTCAAAGGTCTAACAACTTTGGTGTGCTATTGTATATGTTTGAATTGAAATGGACTGCTAGTGGTGATGCCAAGCAATGTGAAGAATAACTTCATGGGGTTCCAACCACACCTATTGGTGATGGTCTACAAGCTCTAAAAATCAGATCTATTACTAAGATAAAAATCCTCTCATTCTTTGACAAGGTTGCTGGCTTGTCAAAGATTTTGGTCTTCCTTGCAAAGGAACTGTTAGAGGTGACAAAGAACTTAGACAGTATGTGCCTCCTTACTCCTATCAGCAAGTACATATAGCATGTAGTAGCTCTTCTACTATCAATGTATCTACTCAAATTGACATCCGAGTATTGAATGATGTCTAGATGATCTGTTTCTTATATGTGAACACATTTTGTATTTTCTAGAGGCACCACATGACTCTTTTAGTTTACTTCTAGTGATCGACACATATATTACTTAAGTATCTATCCACCATTCTAATAATGTATATTATATTCAAAAGCATACATACATAAGCATGCATAAGACTTCATATAGTTAATACATAAAAAAACTTATGTATCTTTTAACATCTTAATCACTTTTTGATCACCAATTGAGGTTAAATTTCTCTTTTAACCACAAAGGTATCACTAGTTTACAATCTTACATGCTGAATCTTTCTAGATCTTTACCCATGAATCTTTTTTTTAACAACCTAAGCATATGTAGAGACCAATCTTAATATATCTACATCCACAATACAAAATAACATCATCAAGACACTTCAACTCAAAATCCTTTGACAAAAATATTTTGGTTTCACATAATAATTATATATCTTTACTAGCAAATAATGTCATCAACATTTACAACCAAAAACTATTTGCTCTTAAGTTATGATACATACAATCAAGAATCATATTCATCAAACAATCGAAACCAAATAAAATGATAACTTGATAAAACATATGGTAACTTTACAAGAACCTTCTTGAAATCATAAATAGATTTTGTAAATGTTTACACCATTTTATTTACATCTCTCAATACAAAGTTTATAACTTCAACATATAACTCATTTCATCAATGTCATTATTTAGAAACATAGTTTTTATATTCATCTAATATAACTCAAGATAAAAATGTGTCATAAGTGTCATTACTATTCTAAAAGAGTCTTTTGATGAAATTAGATAGAAAATCTCTTTATAATCAATATCTTCCTTCTAAGTAAATCTCTTAGCAACAAGATGCACATAATATCTCTGCATTACCTTTCTAATCTTTTTGGTCTTAAATATTCATTTACAAAAAATGGACTTTATGCTTTCAAGTAATGGGATGAGATCCCAAATATTATTATCTTTCATATATTTAATCTCTTCCCTAACAACATCTATTTATTATGAGAATAAGACCTCTATAATATAGTTGATAGAATTATCCTCCATCATTATGATATCAACCTCATGTTCTCAAAGAAAAATAATATAATTACCTAGAATTACACTTCTCCTTTCTATATTGAATTTACTTAATGAAATCAATTCTTGAGATTGTTGTGTTTATTCTTCTAAAATGAGAGGTGTGAGAACATAATTTTGATCAAGTGTTACTTTGATTTTGATCAAATGTTACCTCTTAAAAAAGGTCATACAATATCTAATTTAATCATTGTCGATAGTTAAAAAAGAAATCGAAACATATCCCTCTTCAAAAAGAAAATATTTTTATCCCCATTACAAACTTAATTTCTTCAAAGAATCAAGCATTTTTTGTCTCAAAAATAATCTTAATATTGAGATCATAAAACTTATACCTCTTTGACCTTTCATGGTATCTAATAAAATAACAACTAACAGCTATGAAGTCAAGTTTCATTTCAATAGACCTATAAGGTCTTGACTTCAGTAGATAATTAATTATACATGTACAAATGTTTTCAACTAAGTTTCTTGTATGTTCAAGACCTATAATTGGTTCTTATTGTTAATTCATAACATTTTTTACTGACATGAATTATTTATTTTTATTAAATCACACAAATTAAAGATTTAGAAAAATAGAAAACACTAATTTTTAGAATGTTTAAAGTATATTAACAAATATATATATATAAAAATTATAATTAGATAAAATGCTCCAAAAATAGTGAGAATTTATTATCAAGATGTAAGATAATATGAAATAATTTCAGATTTATTATCAAGTATAATTTCAGATTCTTTCTCAAGTAATATAATTTTCTATGATATTTAGATTAAAATATCACTAAAAATCCTTTTTAAATTTAGAGAAGAAAAAAAATCAGGTCTTGATGTAAGGTGGATGTTAATGCCTAAAGAATACTAATTGGAGCATAAACAAAGTTCCACTAAGTGATTATTGTGTAAGTGATTAGAAACGATCCGATTGATGAAATTAAGATCTATAAATATGAAATAAATTGTAATAGACTAAAGAATAGTTTTAAAAATTGAATTCAAGCCAACTATAATTAATTTTGGTATTAAACTAATTTACGATAAGGAAAATAAAGCTTCAGCATCATGACAATGATCGCTAAAATTCTATAAGTTTGAAAGGTTTTCAAGGGCTGTCCATGGCCTCAAAGTCTCTCCTTAGACATGCATAGTCATGAACACTCTCTAGATTTCTATATAAAGTCCAAAAGGCAAAGGTAAGTAGTGGTGAAATATCTATGGCAATTGTCACCTGATAAAGCATGTGTTTAGCAAAGATGGTTCTCTAACAACTGTCACTTGGTAGGGTAGAGCTTGATAGAGGTAAAATATGTCTCAAGGAGCTTCATCCTCATGTCCACACAACAAGATAAGGCTCATTATCACATTTAGAACATTATGAGAAGATCATGACAAATATCTTGGTGGATCACCTTATTCTCAGTGACAACTCATTGGTTGAATAATAGGATATGATTTCTTCTATAAACTCTTAATCTTTTTATTTAGAATATTTCATCATTTTAACATTGATCTGAGATTATCATTGACAAAGTTTTCGTCAATGATCAAGTGCTTCTAGTAACTCTATGACAAAAATCATAGAGTTAAAATAGATAAAAATAGTGAATTTTGACATTTGTGAGATTTGAACCTTCATCGGTCACCTGGATGCATGAAAGAGGCTTAACTAATTACCAAAATATCTTTAAAATAGTGAGAAAATGACTACATTACCTTCTATTAATGTGGAGGTATTTTTGAAATTATTTGACCAACGTGTTCCAACCGCATTTTAGTCCCACATTAATATAATTGTAAACTTCATTCTACTTTCAAGCTCCCTCTCTCAAAAACATAATGACTAAAACCCCTTAAGGAGAAGGCTTCATGAAATGAGGTGGTCTACCCCCACATATACATGTGTGTATGAACACGTCTTGCTCCATGCACAGCTAACCCCTAATGATGTGGAAGGAGAGTGACACAAGCGTGCTCTACATGAGTTCCTTAGTCACTCGAGCTCAACTCGTGACTTCCTCGACTAAATTTACCACTC